TTGGTTTTTCTCCGGTACCGGGAACTGAACTCACGACCTTGCGCTTGCCAGGCAGGCGCTTTTGCCGCTGAGCTAAATCCCCAGCCCCTTGGATGGGATTTTGTAGCTCAGGCTGGCTGCAAACTCCAGGTGATGCTCCCACCTCAGCCTCAGGCATATGCCACCACACCCAGATACGGCTCAAGATTTTTGTAATGACAAATAGTGTACTGGGAAATACAGTTTTCTGACAAATCTCAGAAATAATTCCAGACTTGAGGCAGCTGGTATCAACTGTATTCAAGGACAAACATGCAACAGAAAGGATACTGACTTTTGTGTGTAGGCAGTTTTTTTGTCTCTATGTGTCCTGTACATTGTCAGATCTTTTTCAGTCTGTTAAATGTCCTTTTGTTTCTTTTCTTTATCTAGAGTGGTGCACGTATCAACATCTCGGAAGGGAACTGTCCTGAGCGAATTATCACTTTGGCTGGACCCACTAATGCCATCTTCAAAGCCTTTGCTATGATCATTGACAAACTGGAAGAGGTTTGTTTCTTTTCCCTGTTTTTATTTTTTTGTTACCATTATTACTGTTATAATTGGGACTATAAGAATATAGCAGTATGCCCAGCAGAACAGATACTCTCTTTTTGTTTTGTTTTTAGTTTTTATTTAGCTGTGCTGGGGGCCGTGCATGTTAGGGAAAGGCTCCACCACAGAGAGCTTCAGGTCATTTAAAGTTTTTTGTGTTTTTCCTTTTAAATTTCTTGGCCAACTGTTTTGAAGGTATGCCATTGCTTCTTTAGCAAACTTTACACCAGCTAATTTAAAAGTAAACTGAATTAATGTGCTTTTGATAGGAGTCCTGTCAAATACAAATTACATTTCCAACTCTGGGTGCTGTTATAATAAATGTATGTGTATCCTTTAAAAACTGTATACACAGACACTGGTAATGTGTCACGGTTATACTTGGATGGAGAGCAGTAGGTTATCAAGTAAAATAACCATGCCAGGCCTTTTATTTAGAAAGGTTTTTCCCCAATTAAGCCTTCAGTTGGGCCTGGGGTATAGCTCAGTGGCACAGTGCCTGCCTGGCAAGCACAAAGTCCTGAGTTCAATTTCTGGTGCCAAAAAAAAAACCCTGCAGAGTGTGAACCACCATTGTCCTATTGAGACCTTGTCTCAAAAAAATAAAACCCAGGCTGGGTAGAACTGTGGCCCTCTTGCTTCAGCCTTCCGTAATGCTGGGATTATAGGTGTACCCCACTAAGCCTGGCTTTTTTTTTTTTTTTTTGGTCTTTTTGAGACAGGGTCTTGCAACGTAGTTCAGGCTGGCCTCGAGCTCACTTCGTAGCCCAAGCCTGGCTTTTCTTAACTTGGTAGTTTTTAATTTTCTTTAAGATCACAGACGCAATTTGAATTGGGTTGCAATGTTTTATCCTTTTTTAGGAGCAGTGATACTGACAGATTGAACCTAGGACCTCACTAAGCTACATCCTCAGCTTTTTTAAAATTTTGAGGCAAGGTCATGTTAAATTCCCGGGGTGGGTAATTTGTGATTCTTTAACTTTAGATTCTCCTGTCTCAGCCTTCTAGAGTGCTTAGATTGCAGGCATGCATCACCATGCGCAGCTCATCTTTTTCACTGTTTGATTTAATGTTTCTGCTACTTTTTTTTCTTTTTTGCGGGGAGGGGTTTGAGACATTTCACTGTAGTTGAGGCTGCCCTTGAACTCACTGTAGTTCAGGCTGGCCTCAAACTGGTGACGATCCTTCTGCCTCAACCTCCTGAGTGCTGGGATTACAGGGGTGTGCTTTGATTTAATGTTAACGTAAATGTTTTTCCCATTTCCAACTCTTAATTTGTTTTGTTTTTGGTGTTTTTTTTTTTGTCTTTTTGAGACAGGGTTTCACTGTGCAGTTCAGGCTGGCCTTGAGCTCACTTTGTAGCCCAGGCTGGTCTCGAACTCACAATGATCTTGCTGCCCTCAGCCCCCCAAGTGCTGGGATTGCAGGTGTGCACCACCACGCCTGACCCTCAACTCTTTATATAAAATAGTGCTTTTTTCTCTATTAATTGCACTTTTCCAGGATGAAGGAAAATAAATTTGTTGTTTCTTTTTTTTCTTGTTTTTTTTTTTTCCGGTACCGAGAATCAAACTCACCACCTTGCGCTTGCCAGGCAGGCATTGTGCCGCTGAGCTAAATCCCCAGCCCCAAATTTGTTACTTCTGAGGAAGTGTGTACAAGCTTTCTTCTTCACTTAGTGTGTTAGGAGTTTGGTACTTGAACCTTTTGTCATTTTAATGATGTGAGTTGTCTTGTACAAGGTCACAATTTTTGTAAGTTGTTTATTTATGGAAGCCATGAGTTCTCAGGGATCTGCTTAAGCTTGTCTGTCTCTCTGGTATCCTAATTTTTTTCTTTTTGTAGGACATCAGCAGCTCTATGACCAATAGCACAGCTGCCAGTAGACCCCCAGTCACTCTGAGGCTGGTCGTCCCTGCTAGTCAGTGTGGCTCTCTCATTGGAAAAGGCGGTTGCAAGATCAAGGAAATACGAGAGGTATTTCTTCCAAATATGGCTTTGTTCACTCTTAAAGTAGGAATAGTTTGCATTAGATGAGAAGACTAAAGTAACAGTCTGGGAGGACTACAGTGTGTACTGGTAATGAAAGTATTATAAAGTTGATGGCTTTAACACATTTCCTAGATACTCAGTTAATTTTATTTGTTTGTTTGTTTGTTTTTGTTTTTCTCCGGTACCGGGAACCGAACTCACGACCTTGCGCTTGCCAGGCAGGCGCTTTTTGCCGCTGAGCTAAATCCCCAGCCCCTACTCAGTTAATTTTATAGTGCTGGCCAGGGATACAGCTCAGTGGCACAAGTGCCTGCCTGGCAAGTGCAAGGTCTTGAGTTTGATTCCCGGTACCAAAAATAATAATTTTATAGTGCTGGAGATTGAACCTAGGGTCCCAAGCATGCTAAGTAAATACTCTTATACTAAGCTACTTACTTACCCTAGTCCTTTTTCTTCCCTCCCTCCCTTTTTAAAAACGGTGCCTTGCTATATTGCCCAGTCTAGTCTTCAACTTTTGGATGCAGACAATCCTGCCTCAGCTCCTGTGTATCTGAGACTATATGTGAGCACTGTGCCTTTCTCAATTCATAAGTTTTAGTAATGACCACAGCTGGGAGTCATGACACAACTGTTCTCTGGGAGGCTTAGGCAGGAGGACCCATAAATTCCAAGCTGGGCAGTTAATGACCTGGCAAGACCCTGTCTCAAAGTAAAAAGTGCTGGGGATGTAGTAGTTGAGTTTGAAGGCGCTATGTTCACTTCCCACTACCAAAAGAACACAAAATGACCAGAATGTGAGAAAGTTAGCTAGACTCTCCAACTCGTGCACATGATTTCCATTTCTTTTGTAACTTTGGACAGTTTGGTAACTTTTCCATGAAGTTACAATATTTTTCATAGTTAAAGTGATAATAGTTAAGAGAGGTAATTAAATCAGTAGTTCTGTTGGTCAAACTAAGCACCAGGGGAAAAGGGGGACATAGATATGGTAGGAGATAGGTGTCTCCTATTTCCTTTTTAATAATGACAATTGGATTAGATTAAAGATGTTTTTAATTGTATCTGGGAATTACCAAAGTTGGTGTTGGGATGAAGGCTGAATGGTTCCTAAAGAAATTTGATTGGAAAAAAAAAGAAAAGAAATATGATTGGAGTCTTGGGAACCTTGTAAATGCTGTGAGAAACAGGTCTTGGTTTTGTTAATTTATCAAAAAGTACTTCAGGCAGTGGCCTGGTATGTAGAATGGGCTTGACATCAGCGTTTGTCCAATAAACACATGAAAGGTAGGGGCTGGGGATTTAGCTCAGCGGCACAGCGCCTGCCTGGCAAGCACAAGGTTGTGAGTTCGATTCCTGGTACCGGAAAAAACAAAACAAAACACATGAAAGGTAAATAATTGTGAGGATTTTGTTCCCTTTTTTTCCTCCGGTACCGGGAAACGAACTCACGACCTTGCGCTTGCCAGGCAGGCGCTGTGCCCCTGAGCTAAATCCCCAGCCCCCAGGATTTTATTTCCTATAGAACTATCTTTTAAAAATACTTTCTTTGAAGCAGGGTCTTGCTGTATAGTTGAGGCTGGCCTCAAATTTATAGTGCTCCTCATACCTCAGCCTCCTTAAGTGTTGGAATTACAGGGCTGTACCACCATGCCTGGCTTGGCGCACAGAGCTGTCACTTGCTGAGAGGAAACTGTTCAGGACCTTTTTCTTGAGTAGGTTAAATTTAGGCTGTTATTCAGGCTTACTCCTGTCTTTCAGAGGCTAATTTATTTTTAACTTCCACTAAACTACTATCCGGAATAAGGGAATAGTAGCAAGAAGGAGATGCGATAAATTTGCTACTGGAAGGAATTGGAAGAACATGAATTGTTTCTGATTTTGAATTTTTTCTTACCCAGAGTACAGGGGCTCAGGTCCAAGTGGCGGGAGATATGCTCCCCAACTCAACTGAGCGGGCTATCACTATTGCTGGCATCCCGCAATCCATCATTGAGTGTGTCAAACAGATCTGCGTGGTCATGTTGGAGGTAAGCCCTCAGGCTCATGCTGGGAGTTGGGGGAGGGTGATTCTGAGGACAGAAGAACTGATCTATATTTAGAAAGACCAGAATTAGGTGAAGCTGTTGGAAGCTTCCAATGGGGGGTAGGGAAAGAGGTTTCCTGAGTTCATATTTTCCTTCTGCCATCTTTGATTTTACTTATGGTCTGTGTGCAAAAATAGAAATGGCTAAGCAGCAGTGAATTTTAGTTCATAGCAATTCTAATGGAGTTGGTAGACGAAGATGGGAAGATGGACTACTTTGTCTTTGTCTTTTTTTTTGTTTTGTCGTTTTGAGACATGGTCTCGCTATGCAGCTCAGACTGGTCTTGAGCTCATTTTGTAGCCTAGCCTCAAACTCTGTAGCAATCCTTCCACCTCAGCCTCTCAAGTGCTGGAATTATAGGCATACACCAGCACACCCGGCTAAGATTGACTACGTGGGCTAAGTGGAGAAAAGATGCGTTTGGGTTACTGGGAAGCTAAATTCCCTTTTGTAGTGTTACATTTGGTTACAAAAAACTTGCTCACATCCTTTAATTTTTTATTTTGAAGCAGGACTTAGTAAAAATGGCAGTTATATTAAGAGAGATACATCAGTATTGCATCATCATCACTTAGTATTGCATCATCATCACTCCCCCCACCCCCACTGAACCCAGGGGCTTCATGTTGAGCTGTATATAGTACCACTTGCCCCTTATTTTATTTTGAGGCAGTCTTGCTAAGTCATTCTAATGTAGCCCAGGCTGGGTTTGAACTTGTGTTCCTCCTGCCTCAGGCTTCAGGAGTGTTAAGATTACCGGCATATGCCACCATGGTGTTGTTTTTAAATGCCTTATGAATTCTTGCTAATATTATTAGTCCATTAAAAGAATAAAATTAAGGGCAGTTAAACTTTTTTTAGTGTTCCATGGAGTTGGTCCGTTCAGAAAAGAAAGTTTAATTTCCAAGTAGAGTGTAGAAAAATCTTCATTGAAGCCTTTGAACTATTTAAGTATGGTATGTGTATTAACTGAGCCATAACATTTGGATTCCTTACTTCCTATTCCATACACAATGCAAGATCTTAAAAATTACTGACTAATGCCGGGCTTAGTGGCACACGCTTGTAATCCCAGCAATCGGGAGGCTGAGATAGGAGGATCTTCTTGAGTTCGAGGCCAGCGTGGACTACAAAGTGAGCTCAAGGCCAGCCTGAACTGCACAGCGAGACCCTGTCTGAAAAAGACAAAAAAAAAATTTTACTGACTAAAATGTACATGTGGAAGTTTTTCCTGCTCATAAAACTTACTTTGAAGCAGGAACTAGTGCTTCAAATGAGTGTAAGCTTAGCTGGGCGTGGTGGTACACGCCTGTAATATCAGCACTCTAGAGGTTGAGGCAGGAGAATTGCTGTGAGTTCGAGGCCAGCCTGAATTGCATTGTGAAACCTTATCTCAAAAGTGTAACCTTTAGTCTGTAGACCGGTCTTACAGTTTAAACACAAGTACTTGGCACGGTGTGCTGGCGCACACCTGTAATCCCAGCACTTGAGAGGCTGAGGCAGGAGGGTTGTTGGAGTTCAAGGCCAACCTGGGCTACCTTAATGAGCTCGAGACTGGCCTGAACTAAAAATAAAAAGTGAGACCCTATCTCAAAAACAAAAAAGGTTAAGGGGATACTATGGATAATTTGAGGTTATACTTAGCCAGAGATAATTTGCTAGGCAAGGGGATGGAAATAAAAGTTTTTAATTTAACTGACCTGTGTGTGCTAAAGCCACACAGCTGAAGCAGCTTTGAAACCTTATCTCTTTTTGTTTTTTTCCCCTCTGACTCTCTCCCAGTCCCCCCCGAAGGGCGTGACCATCCCGTACCGGCCCAAGCCATCAAGTTCTCCAGTCATCTTTGCAGGTGGTCAGGTAAGAAAATTATTATTGGTGGGCTAGAATGAACAGAGATTATATTTGAAATGTCAACTTTGCCAGCAGTACACCAAACCCACTCTGCATGCTTGCTGAGACCTGTATTCTGGCCATAGTTTGAATCGCTTGTAGTTTCATGTTTTATACTGGAGAAAGCCTTGAATGCCAAGCCTTTATTTAATTTTTAGCAGGCAATGGAAGTTTTGTAGGCACTCGGAAGAGGTAACTTACTTGGTAATTTAAGGTGGGTTATGGTTTAGAACAAAGTTAAATTGCCTTGGTGTCACTGGTTTTGACCCTACCCCCACTTTAACAATGCTTTTATGTGTATGGGGTAGTCTTTAGAGGTCTGAGTAAAGGTAGCAGAGTTGGACCTCTGAAGGAGATCTGAATGCTGGTCTCAAACTGGGGACTCCTAAACTTGAGTGCCCTACAAACTTCCCCTTCCCTCCAACTCACCTCCCCTACTCCTACCCCTTCATTCCCAAATCCAATGTGTTGTCCCTCAGGCTCTTCCTTGTAAACACTCATTTAAACCTGTTTGGCATAACTGAAATCAGCTGGGGTAAAAGTTCAGCGTGCCAGAATAGCGGGGAGAGCATGTTGGGCTGTGGTGCTGTGACCTTTGGTGTTAGAGCAAGAACACCAAAGCACCCCCTTGACCTCCTCTGCTCCTTCCTCACCAGCCTTAAACTCTTCATCTTTGACACATGGTTTATTCTCAAATTAGATTTATATGACAAGAACATGGAGAAGCACCATGGTCATCTTATGCTTTGGTTAGTATTTGAGGAATAAGTAGGTCAGTTTTTAAAATACTGAGATTCAGATTGAAATAGTGACCTTTGTTTGGGTAGCTATGTGAGCAAATGCATTGCTCAAAATGCTGTTTTTGCACTTGGGTCTATCTAGCCTGTTAGAGGGAATAAGAACCTTTGCTATAGTATTTGTATTTGACCTGAAAGCCATTTAGAAGGGAAGCATAGACTTCAAGTTCATCTCATTCACATTTAACTGAATTGGCATAAAACTGTTGGGGAACTTAAGTTCATTATATAGTTCTGGGAGCTTTCACAAGAGGTTAATCATGTAACAACGTTACTGAGGCAGGTTAGTACCTTGCATTAGCACTAGCTTTGTATAAATTGGTTTGGTGAAAGGGTTGTCAGTCTGTGTATTGGGTAGGATAAGCAAAGGCTTAGAGTCAGTGTAGCATGGAGGGTTAGCATTAGGAATTTTGCCTTCTCACCTGGAACTCCAGGTTCCTGCTCTTCTGGATTCTCCCATACCCATTTGGAATTCAAAGAAGTCCCACCCTCTGTGGCAGTAGTCCTCTCTTAAGTTCTTCCCTTCCCTTCCTTTTTTCCTTCTCTTCCTTTCCCTCTGTACCTCTTTGCTTCCCTACCCCCCTTCCTTTTATTCAGTTGACCACCCTCTAATAAAGCTTGCAGCTTCTTCCATGAGTTGCCTTGTCATGGATCATTCCCATGGCCTTTTTTGTATGGACCAGTTCATAGTGTCCACAGATGGACCTGTGTCTTTTGTTCCTTTGTGGCAAAGTGAGCTCTGTAGGGGTTCAACTTAGTCCCACACTGACCAGGAGCTGGCGTCGGCTGTTGTCCCATCCCTTCATTCTTACTGAAAATAACCCATTTGTGCAGTGTGAAATCTGCCACTAGGTAACTTTTTTTTTTTAATTTACTGATTACAGCTCGTTTCAAATTTGTGTCGTGAGCTCCTTTTTAAAGGAAAAAGGAAAAAATAAACAACTTTTTTTGTGTGAATTTCATGCTGGTGACAAGGTGCCGGATTGACAGCCCTGGAGACTGAAATCCTCTATTTATCCACAGGACAGGTACAGCACAGGCAGCGACAGTGCGAGCTTTCCCCACACCACCCCGTCCATGTGCCTCAACCCTGACCTGGAGGGACCACCTCTAGAGGTGAGAGGGGATGTTCAGTCTCCAAGGCTCACTCAATCCTTCCGCCTCAGCCGAGACTGCCAACACGCGGGGGGCCAGTGGCGCTGGTGATTTTTGTGCTGTGGACACCACCTGTCCACGGGGACCTGGACTGACCCTCCCCACCTCATTTCACACAGGCCGCGTAGCCCACCAGATGGTAACACCAACTCTTTTTTTATTTTTATTTTTATTTTTTTATTTTTTATTTTTGGTTCAACCCCTCCTCCCCCTGTCCTACTCCTCCCACCCCATTTTCACCTTCCTCCCACCCCTACCTGGGTGCACTTGTGGGGGTACTGGCCACGGTGATGTGAGAAGCTTCACATCCTGTTAAACCAGGCAATTGTTCCTTCCCCTCCCTTCCTTTTCCCTTTTCCTCTTTGTCCCATACCCCCTTGTCCTGAAGACCCAGCTCCCTTTTTGGGAGGTCATGGTGTGGTGGGAGGAGGGCATAGTGGGAGCTGCAAGTGCCTTTTATGGAGGGGAGGTGGGAAAAGTCAGGATTTAGAGCATAGTGATTTTTGTGTTCTGTGGTCAGCTCCCTAGTGTTAGGGATCCAGCTAGCTTCTAGTGTACTCAAGGTTTTAGGTAGATGTTAGAGAAAAATAGGGGAAAGGGAATTACTTCAAAACTTGTCATGTAAGTTTATGCAGATACGAATCATTCACAGCACCACAATGGGTAGAAGGGCTGGGGTGGGGAGGGAAGAAACCATTTTCCCTCTAAGGCTGTCTTTATGTAGGGAGGAAGGGGGGGGGGCTTGGTCAATTGAGGTCACATTTTCATTAAAAAGCAGCTAAGTGTATTTTGCCTTGATTGGGGAATTTGTCTACCTTATAGGATCCCTGGAATAAAGACACTAAGGATTCAAAGAAGCCAGTATGGGTCTGACTATATATGTGAGATTCCATCTACTGTCTCAATCTGGCTCCCCATTCTCTAATTCAACTCCGGCTTCCTGGCTAGTTGAAATCTTGTCCCCTTCCTCCCCCTCCCACTGGGTGGCTGTCCGTGATTGGTTTTTAATAGGAATTGTTTTCCTCCTCTTGTAGGCCTATACCATTCAAGGACAGTATGCCATTCCACAGCCAGATGTAAGTTTGGTTTTTACTTGTTTTTTGAAAAGCTCCCTCTCCCATCCAAAATTGTCTTGACTCTTTTTCTCTCAAGTAGCCCGAAATGAGTTGGGTCTTAAACATTGGCAGTATTGTTATCCTCTGAAAGTGAAACCACTTATTTTGGCCCTTAAATAATTTTTAACCAGTGCTTAGTAGAACTTTGTGTGCTTTTTGAATTTAACCCCTAGAAATTACTGCCTTCTACTTTTTTCCATGTTTCAGATTACTTTACTTAAAAGAGATGTTCCATGGTATATTGTCATTTGTCATCTCAGGGCACAGTTTAAGTTGACAGTGAACTGTGCTTCCTTGAATAGAGGCTTCCTTTTGGTGGTGGTGGGGGGTGAGATGTTGGATGAGCCCTTGAGTACTCCTCAATGTGAGGTAACAAAAAATACTTGGGGTGGGGTGGAGGGCCTTACTGATCCAGGGAAAGACAGAAAATTGAACGTTTGGGAATTAAAGTTAGTAACATTTTCTTTGCTACTAAAAACTATTTTTTAAGTGCTGGTATTTAGACCTTGTTTAAGGGCATTTCTTCCTGCTCTCTTTCTGTATTCCTACTAACCTTTTCAGATGCTGAGCATTAGACTTGGAAAGTTGAGATTGGCTCTTGGTTAGTGGTAGGCCCTAGGAGAAGGGAAGTTGACCTGAGGAGGGATTATTTTACAATAGCCAGGATAGTTTATGTAGGTGAATAAGAACAGCTATAGATGTCAAGTGATGTGGACTAAAACCAGTTTGCTTTCTTCCTATGCTCTCTTCTTGCAGTCTCCCTGTCCTCCTCATTTCCTTCCCCATCCCTAATACTGGCGGAACCCTGCATGGTGTGTTTTCCCTAGCACCACTGCACAGTTTGTTTACCTAGCCTGTCTATGCTTGTCCCTGGGGCAACTGTTGCAATGGCTGCAAACACCTTCATTAAATAGCCCACAAGGGGATGGTTGTTGGTCGGGAGCTGTTGCTTTTCTTTTCACATACCCAAAATACATTAATTCTTTTAGACTTATACTTCTATTTTAACCCTTATCTTTCATATTCTGCCCACCCCTAGGATTGTATTTTAAGCCCCGTACCTGCCGTGTGTTGTAGATGTAGTAGTTGCTGTAGTTGCGGTGGTGGTAGAGTTTGGATCAGGAACCCTGCATTTTCACATTGAACATGCCTGAGCCCTGGCTTTGTAACTCTTCTAATGCCAACCTCTCCTATTCCTTCCTGTAGTTGACCAAGCTGCACCAGTTGGCAATGCAACAGTCTCATTTTCCCATGACGCATGGCAACACCGGATTCAGTGGTATGGACACCTCAGTGTTTATTTTTGTAAGGTGTAGTTCAAGACCGAGGCCAGTCCCAAGGTCTCAGCTTGACATCTGTTTAAAACAAACTTCGTTACCCAGCGTCCTGCTGGTTTAAACTTAGCCTGTCCATGGCTAAACCCAAGGAGGTAATGTGTTTGTTAACGTGGTTTTCATTTGGGGTGAGTTATTCTAAAAGAAAAAAAAGGCCCTGGAAGGTTTGGGGTGAGGTCTGGGGATGCTTGTCAGGCAAAGGGTAGGCTGATATTTCTTGTAATCCATCCTAACTCTTGCCCCCTTGATCTGATCAGCACCCCCTTTCTCTCCACCAGCTATTCGCAGACTTGGGTAGAGACAATCCATTGTGCCAAATTGTGTAGTGTTTTTTGTTTTTGTTTTTTGTTTTGTTTTGTTTTTTGGGCTTTTTTTTTTTTCTGTATAAGGAATAACTTGTCCGATAGGGTTAGGATGAGACCACCAAACTCATTTTCACTTGTATCTTAACAGGCATTGAATCCAGCTCTCCAGAGGTGAAAGGCTATTGGGGTAATGATTAAAAAAAAAAATCTGTAGTATTCTACTGTTATATTAATAAACTGGTGGGAGTCTTGTTTCACTGCCCATGAACCATACCAGCAACGTGCACATGGCAGAGAGGAGCTGAGAGAGCAAAGGGGTGGGCCTGGTGCCCCTGACGGTCCCTTGATGGATCTGGCCAACCCCTTCTAAAAAAGAGAGCAGGACTGGGATTGTAAGGGTTAGCCAGCTGGCCTGGTCCAGTCCAGGTGTCATTATAGATGGGTATGGGTATTTCCTGATGGGATTTTTTTTTTTAATTGGAAAACCAAACAAAAGCCAGAACAAATTGAGCAAAAAGACGAAATGAATCTGGAGAAATGAGCTTCCCCTCACCTGACAGCCCTTTCATTTTATCTGACCTTTTAAGTCTAAGTTGGGAAGATAGAGGTGGAGGATGTTAATCTGATACAGGTATATTTAAAGCAACTCTGTATGTGTGCCAAAAGTCCATGGTACCCAATAGCAGGCATGATACTGGCGTTGGTGCTAGTGAGCATTGGGTGTAATAAAATTGAAACACAACAGCAGACAAAGGGTGGAAGTACAGAGGACTTGATGTTTAGATTTTGGTCCTGTTTGAGGATACCACATCCCCCTATCCCTAATAGATTGGGCTTTGCAGGAAATGGCATGAAATCAGCTCTTCTGAGTGTACAGAAGAACATTCCAGCATTATTTCTACATCCCTCTCCCCATCTTTTCCTCCGTGGAGGCTTCCAAGTTAGTGATGAATCCCAACAGCCAATGCTGGGTCTCCAGTTTTAATTTCTTTCTGTTAGTTTAATGTGCAAATCAGTGTAGTTTTGAATGCAGTGCATTGAACTTTCTTGCTCTCTTCTGTCTTTTAGCAGGTTTGGATGCATCTGCTCAGACTACTTCTCATGAACTCACCATTCCAAACGATGTAAGTGTAGTGATATTGTGTGGGATTGGATTTAAAGACTAGAAATGTCCTGTTAAGCCCTAAGGAAACAAAGTGAGAATTTGTAGACGACATATTCAGGATTTAAGCTGGGTGTGATGGTGTGTGCCTGTAATCCTGAACCTGGGAGGCTGAGGCAGGGGGATCACTTGAGTTCGAGGCCAGTTTGGACTGCTTAGCGACACCTTGTCTCAAAGGAAAAAAAAAGAGTATAGACTTCTGCCAGGCATGGCAGTACATATTGGCAATCCCAGCACTGAGGCTGAGGTAGGATCACTGAGTTTGAGGCCAGCCTGAGCTATAGCGAGACCTTGTCTCAAAAAAAAAAAAACAAAACCAAAAAACAGAATCTACAGAATTCTGAGCACAAACTTGATAGAGAAAATGAACAAAACTTATTTTGTGAGGGGGGGTTAGCATGAGGTGGAAAGAATATGTATCAAAATATAAAGCTCTGTATTTGGGTATGGTGGGTCTTGAATGTTAGATTTGTGCTGTTGAACATGGTAGTTATGGACCACATAATTATTTGAAAATAAAAATTAAGAATTTTTCACTCTCACTAAATATGTCAGATGTTCAGGAATGACATACTACTATTTATAATATTGAACAACACAAATTTAAAGTAATTTCTCTTCTCCAAAGGCAAAAACTTTAGAAATTATTCAGAATTCTTGCCAGGCGTGGTGGTACACGCCTATAATCCCAGCACTTGGGAAGCTGAGGCAGGAGGATCGCTTTCGAATTGGATGTTAGCCTGAACTGCATAGCGAGATCCTGTGGTCTCAAAAAAGACCACCCCCCAAAACAAAACAAAACAAAACAAAACACACTTCTCACTAAGTATAGTAAGTGTTAACAGTGGTGGATGAATTTAAGAATTGTTAATGGCCAAAACTGAAGGTACATTTTTAATTCTAAGCTTTTTTAAAAATCTGGTTTGGTGTCATCTTGGCTCTGATTTATTTGGACTTTGGAGTTAATACCTTTTTGGAGGGGACACTGGGACTCAAAGTCAGGACCCTGCACTTCGCAGGGAGGTGCTTGTACTGCTGAGCTATATCCACATCCCTGGAATTAATACTTTGAGGAAAGAAATGAATACCTAGTGCTTGTCTAGAAGTTCAGAGTTGGCTATGATCTGAAGTTGTCAGAAGGCTGAGATTTACAACTTGAGGTTTTGACCAGAATTTATGGGGAAAGAATGTAGGATGTAGGTAGTAGTTTCTGTTCCCATATTCTTAAACTCAGGTTCTAAAAGTTAGATGCATTGTGATCCTTGGATGTAGTCACTGCAAATCTTAATTTGGTGTGCCTTTTTTTTTTTTTTTTCCTCAAGTTGATTGGCTGCATAATTGGCCGTCAAGGCGCCAAAATCAATGAGATCCGTCAGATGTCTGGGGCGCAGATCAAAATTGCGAACCCAGTGGAAGGATCTACTGATAGGCAGGTTACCATCACTGGATCTGCTGCCAGCATTAGCCTGGCTCAATATCTAATCAATGTCAGGTAAGGTTGCCCTACCTTTTACCTTATTAATGCCAACACAGTAATGTGTGTGTTGGGAACATTGTAGTAGATTGTCATATATGGAATTATTGGGGGTGGGTGGGTACTTTATCCTGCTTGCTTGTGTCATGAGTGTAGCAGAGAAAAGATTGCAGTCAGTTTGCATGGGGTGACGTAGATTGCTTTTAATTTTTGGTGGTTTGGGGATTTGGGGAATGAGAAGGATGACGTAGTAGTCTTTACTAATAGGACAGTGTCCTGGCTAGAGCAGCAGTACTAGCAAAACCTACATACACATTTCTCTTGTTACCCATGTTGTGTAGAACAATACATCTTTCATTGGCTTGACTTAAGGTCCAGAGCACTTTTAATTAAGAATAAAGGAATAAAGAGACGTCAGAGCAGTTTTTTTTTTTTTTTTTCTGGAGACAGCCACAGCATTTATTCTGAAAACATCTACTTTTCTCAAATGGCAAGTGTGGTCTGTTATTCAGAACTTGTGGAAAAGGGGAGGCACAGATAACGGGATGTTGTTTCAGAAATACCAGATGTATTTTTTTCTTACCCCTCCAGTCTCATCCCTTTATCACTTCCTGAGGTTTTATTTCCTTTAGGCCATACGAAGGTAATGTTTATACTCAGTTTATAGGACAACTGTCAGATGAGCATCTTTTAAGATACTTGTTTTTCTTGATCTTGCAGCTTGTGCGCTGTAGTCACATTCTTAATTGTTTACTAACATTTTAAGACAGTGTTAGCCCATTTCCCAAGGGGCTTAGCTGTATCTTTTTTTTGGGAGTATTTATCTCTTCATCAACCTTTCTCATAAGTATTCAGTTTGTTCATCATGAAAGTTTTATGTGAGTTCCTGAATCTAGTACAGAGGAAAGGAATTCATAAGTATGGTCTGTATTCTTGTCATGCTTATACTGACCATGTGTTGGATCCTAGCTAAAAATGCCATCAGTTCTCCAGTAGTGGACCTTGGTTTCCTTAAGTGTTTTTGTTCCTTGAGGTACTGCTGTTAGTCTTACGTAGAAAACTTTCCTATGTCTAGATCTGTCTTCATGCTTCCCAGCCAAGCATATCCAGTTTAGTATTTATGGTTGTAGCTTTTCCACAGAGGCTGTTTGTGAAGAATTATCTTCTTGTTTCTGATGAGAGTGATGGCAGGGAGTTTTAAGTGACAAAAATCACGTTTTTGGAATCTGGAAATTGTTTTCTTATACTTCAGGAAGACTGCCATTTTTTCCCCTTTGGTGTATAGTCAGATGTTTGAATTGTGAATGCTTAAAAGTGACTTGCTTGTCTGGCTGCTTTTATAGTCAGTAGCCATATTGTAAGGAAGCAGAAGAATCTTGCTTAGAGTTACTCTTCAGGATTATTTCTTACTGAATGTCTGGCTGTTCAGGATCATGCTGTTTAATGATACTGTCCAAGCTGAGGTTTTGGGTCAGAACTTTTAAAGCTTCATTTAACACAAAAACAAGGACTTTGTATGCACAGAGCTTGGTCTTCATCCTCCATCTTCTGATCTTGGCCCAGATGGGTTGTAACAATCCAATTGGTTTTATTAATACTAGACAAGAAGGATTTATCTTTCACTAATGGATTCTGAGCATTTCTGCTGTGCCTCTAGTTTTCATGGTGGCAGTCTGGGGCTTTTTTGTAGTTAATTACTGTGCCTCCTTTGTGGCTTTCAACTGATTCTGAACAAAGATAAACAAAATGGAGTCTTTAAGAGGAATCGCCCTGCTCTTGAAAAGTTACTGTTGTTTGGAGCATATTTTAAGAGTAGAAGCATTATTTTTGCTTTTTTTAAACATGGATGTTTTGGTAGTGCTTGAGTTTCTTCCAGTTCTCTAAAGCCGACATTAGACATTAGAAGTATGTTCAGTAAAAACAAAGAGTCTTTTATACTCTGCCACCTCCCACTAGAAAAGCTCCAGTTCTTATCTACACTTGTGTTCTCAGCAGTTTTCTTTGAAAATGCTACATTCTCTGAAATTGGTGGCCTACTTTGGGCTCTTGCCTCTTACCATCCTTATGTATTGGTTTATTTGCTGTGGATATATAAGTAGACTTCAATGTTAATTACAGAGAAAAACAATTTTTAAAATTCTGTGTAATATACAGAGCTTTTCAAGTAATTACTTGATAATTGCTTTTTCCATTGAAATGGGAAATTGATATTTGATTGATAGGTGAAGCATTTTTTCCTTGTTTGGGGATTTGAGTAGTGTTTTTTATTTTCTACCTGAAATCATTCTCTGCCTAAAATCATTCCTGATTTCTGGGTTGGGTCAATGTGTCAGAACTAGAAAGTATGCCATGTATGATTTTCGCAGTCTGTCAGCCTTTTCTTCACTAAAGCAGTTTTAAATAGCATTGTGGAATGGAAGGTGGCAAAAGTGTACATAGTTAGAGGGTGGGACAGAGACTAAGAGCTTATCGCCAGTTGATATTAAGTCTTTCTAATTGGCAACCAAAGGCACTTACTGATAGAACTGAAGAGGTTTTGTCCTGTACTTTTTCCCTTTTGTGGTCTTCCCTTCCACCCACCCTTTTTTTTGTTCCTTTTTTCCTCTGTTACAGTTTAGAAAACGCTAAACCCTCCTCCCAGGCAGCCTCCGTCACGATCCCCGATCACCTCAGCATCAACCTCTCTCAACCCTCCACCCCTTCTTCTTCTTCTTCCTCCTCCACCACCACCCCCTCGCTCGCCACAGCGGGGACCTCCGACGCACCCTCCAGCCTCCCCAACCCTCTTCCGACCGCCCCTTGTGTCTCCAGTCTGCTTGGCATGAAACCCATCCCTCTCCTGGCTCTAAATGTTGTGTCTGCTGCTAAGGGTACCGGGGCTTCAGCTACCACCACCACCACTTCTGCGGTGCCATGTGTAACTAACAAACTGAAAAGTGAGAAACAGAGATTCTCCCCCTACTGAGTGCATATCTTGAGGCACATCCTCAAGTGTTGTTGGTTCATTTTGTTTTCCTTTGTTAATACTGGTGAGAACCAAACTATTGTGAGCTTGTGACTGGTTTCTTTTTACTACTTGGGATAAAACTGGGTGGGGGTTGGAGGGGCAATGGTATATACCTTTGTTTAGGTTTAGGCCATTTCAGCTGAGTGCCTGTTTCAGAGTCTGACTTGTTGAATTCTTTATCTAGAGCCACAGTTCTTGATCTTCTTTCTCGTTCTGTTATCTTTTTTTTGTAGCTTTATTCTGCCTTGCAATATAACAATGTGTTAGGCTCTGTGTTAATGAATAAAAGCTTCTCCAATGACCTTTTTTTTTAAAAAATTATTTAATGGTTAAGCTATCGGCAGGCCTTCCTGGCCAGATTTGTGTTTCTAGCTGTAATAAAGTTGACAGAGTAAGAACCCTAGTTCATCGTGTGCTGTGCCGGGTAAATGGGTGGGAACTTACGACCTATGGCTATTCCACTAGGAAGTTTACACAACTGGCTTTGGCCTTTTTGTTTCCCAGGTTACTTTTACAATCTTTTATTTCCACAAAGAGAAAAGTGCCAGTGTTTAGATAGATATTGAGAGTCCTTTATAACTGATAATTAGCCAAGTAGAAAGCTTCTCAGATTCCTTACCTTACCAGTAGCAGCAGGGAGCAAGGGTGTCTATCCCAGGCTGTTTCCTCTGGGCAGTGGTTAGTGTTAGGGTCTTTTCCAAGGCATACATACAAAGAACACATTTCTCTACGCAGAATGGTAGGACAGGGTTGGATAAATCAATTAAGTTGTTCAGTCTACATTGCTGGGAATGAGTACTGTCCCTCTTGATACAACATTAGGGAAGTCTTGAACATCCAACCTGTGACATTGCCCATAATTTCTAAGCCTCAGCCTAGTCATCCTAAATGAACTCTTGAGTGGTCAGCCAAGTTCCTGTACCTTTCTATTCCCTGCTTACCCCTCCCTCTTCCCATCAACACTGTCATGAGTAGGAAATTATGTTTAGATTTGAAGAAATCTTAGGGATCAGCCAGTCTGTAATTCATCAGTCCCCTCATATCATGAAAAAGCCCTGAGAGAATTTAATTTTTAGATCATACGATTAGAAGGCGCTAACACACTGGGCATGGTGGCACACAGCTGTAATCCCAGCACTCTGGAGGCTGAAGCTGGGGGATCACAGTGAATTGGAGGCCAGCCTGGGCTACTTAGTGAGCTCAAGGCCAACCTGAACTACTCTGTCTCAAAAAAGAGAAAGAGCCCTGAGGGAATTTAAATTTGTAGATCATATGATTAGAAGGAGCTAACAGTTTGTGCTTTCAGTTTGTGCTTTGCTTTTACTCAAATGTGTCGCTTCCATGAAGTTTGTCATTTTATTTTTTGGTGTTAAGTTTTGAACTAGAGCTTTTTGCAATGTACCACTGAGTAGCACACTCAGCTGCTTACTTATTCTGAGATGGGTACAGCTCTGTTTCTGTGCAGGTATAGCTTAGTGGTAGAGCATTTGCCTTGCATGTATGAGTACGTACCTGGTTTAACCAGTAGTCAGTCTCTCCCTCTCCCTCTCCCTCTCCCTCCCCCCCTCCCCCTCTCCCACACACACACAACCTGTGATTTTCTTCATGCAACTAGAGTATGTATTAGCAAGGTCCTGAAAGTATGTTCTCAGGGCATTAGAGAAAATAAATTAGTGTATAGAATTTTTCCTTTGATGGCCTCTTTCCCACATCACCTTTGATTGACATTGTTAAACAAAACCTAGCTGTTCACTAAGAGTCCGATACATTATCTCATTCTCTTGTATTATTGTGGTCTTCCCTCACAGATTGAGCCTATTAATTAATAGTATTATATGCTATAAGTCTGCATGAAGAATTGGGGAGGCAAATTATTGTCCAGGTAGAAGTTTTTGCTCTAGTCATTCCTGTACCATGCACTCTCGCTCTCTAGTTCTTTCAGAAGTTAGGACTTGGTATACTGATGCTACCTCTCTCCCCTCCAGGGCTTGGTCTTTTTAAATGTTACCTACTTCCTGATTAGAAGACCTTTCAATCTAATTAATACTCTCTAAAGAAGTATTGTTGGGAATGAATCCAGATATTTAAGAGGCTGACTACCATTACCACCTTGGTATCAGTTTTTTAAAAGGTTAGAGCTCCCCCATGTGGTCCTTCAATTGTAGAGTCCCTGATGTTTTTTGTTAGTGGTCCTGAGGAGCCCACATGGGGTGTTAACGCCTACAAAGCGAATGCTCTACCACTGAGTCACAGTCTCAGACCTTTAATGTGTTTCAGATTGGGTTTGTCTTTTTTCCTGCCTCCTACCCATACCCCTGCAAAACCCTGTTCAGGATTGGAGTAAGTTCTGGACAACACTTTTGAACTCTTGTGTGGGGCTAGAGTGCTATGATCTTCTTAGATGGACTGTAAATTATAGACAGCAGTTCCTTTCCTGGACCTTCAGTGTTCACTGAACCCTTTCATTTGGGGCTAATTGTTTACCTTGCATTACTATTATTATTATTATTATTATTATTATTATTTATTATTATTATTTTTGGTACTGGGAATTGAACTCGTGACCTTGCGCTTGCTTGCTCATCAGGCACTTGAACTGCTGAGCTATATCCCCAGCCTTACCTTGCTTTAGATTATCCTGCTTTGACTCTTTCCCCACTCTTTGTTTTGGGGGTGGGGTATGATTTTTGGTGTTTTTGAGAAAGGATCTTGTGTTCTAGGCTGGTGTTGAACTCCCTTATCTTCCTGCCATAGTCCGCCTGAGAACTGGGCTTACATGACTATGTGCCACTAGACCTGGCTAAGAGGGTGCCCCCTTTTAAGAACTAAATACTCTTTTCTCATGCTGAGGTGAAGAAATAATTTTTTACTGTACAGTCCATGATTGAAGGACTCTTCAGTTTCCTGACCCTTGGTTTCTTTCCCTTCTTGCCAGCTTTTGGCTTTTAATTGTTGTAGAAGGAGTACAGATGTTATATTCAGTCATACCTTTTTCCTCTCTCTTTTTTTTTTTGGTCTTTTTGAGAGGACAGCACTATATAGTCCAGGTTGGCCTTGAACTTACTGTATAGCCTAGTCTCACTATATAGTCCAGGTTGGCCTTGAACTTACTGTATAGCCTAGGGTGGCCTCAAACTTGTGGTGATCCTTCCGCCTCAGCATTCTGAGTGTTGGGAATACAGTGCCACCATGCCTGGATATCTATATTGAGTTTATCTTTTTTTTTTTTTTTTTTGAGACAGGGTCTTGCTGTGCAGTTCAGGCTGACCTTGAATCTGAGGCAGGAGGAACCTTGATCCTCCTGCCTCAGCCTCCCGAGTACTGGGTTTACAGGTGTGCACTGCCATGCCTGGCTTTGATTTTAACTCTTTATGAAGTAACTGAATTAAAACCTTCTCTTATACATGTTCTACTCAAAAACCTTGCCAAGTCCCTAATATCAGAGAATTACTGAGAGCCTAAATACCTTTCCCTCAAAATTCCTAAATTCCATGACCTGTTTGAAGCATACAGGAAAGCCTGGTATGTTTGGGTGGACAGTTTGGCTCAACACGAAAACCATAAATTTAGGGAGTTATTAAAAGTGAGCTCTAGGGTATTAAAACACAATTTTTTTCTCTTAATCTTCAGTCTTGAAATCTAATCTAAGCATGAGAACAATGAATTACTGGCCTATAGTTACTCTACTTGTTCCTTTTTTAACATCCCTTAGCATTTAAAATTGTATCATCTCTTCATACGAATAGCCATCACACTGATAGAAGTATAGAAGGCTGTACTAAAGGCCTTGAGTTTTGTCTTAAGCATTAACCTCATAAGCTACTTTCAGATGTTTCCTAAATGGGCTGTGTGCTGTTAGCATGTAGGAGGAAAGGTAAATAAATAGCATCACATTTGTGTATTTGCATCCTCCAGAAATGATCTTTGTTAATAATAGTGGCTATCTTCAGAAAGCCTTTAATAAGTGTTTTAGGGAACACAGACTGAGGGACTCGTCCATGGTATTTTTCTTCCTTCTGTTCTGAGGTAGTTTGCCTCAGAAATCTTAAATTTTAGAAGTTTAAGAAAGAGTCATGGCATATTGAGGTTAATGGCGAAGTGTCTTCCTCCGTACTGAAGTGGTGATAAGTAGTACTTTTCATTTCATTAGCCAGGCTGAAGTTGTAGAGGTGAGGGGTAGCTGGACACTGGGAAAACTAACTTGGAGTTCTTGTCTGTTTCTGTGTTACAGGCTTTCCTCGGAGACGGGTGGCATGGGGAGCAGCTAGAACAATGCAGATTCATCCATAACCCTTTCTGCTGTTCACCACCACCCATGATCCATCTGTGTAGTTTCTGAACAGTCAGCGATTCCAGGTTTTAAATAGTTTGTAAATTTTCAGTTTCTACACACTTTATCATCCACTCGTGATTTTTTAATTAAAGCGTTTTAATTCCTTTCTCTGTTCAGCTGTTAATGCTGAGATCCATATTTAGTTTTATAAGCTTCTCCCTGTTTTTTTTTTTTTGTTTGTTTTTTTGGCTCATGAATTTTTCTGTTTGTCATGAAAATGTAAGAGTGGAATATTAATACATTTCAGTTTAGTTCTGTAATGTCAGGAATTTTTCAAAAAAATTAAAAGATGGACTGGAGCTTTTTCTTTGTGAATAGAAACTGGATGCCACAGTGATCCATGTGGGTTTTATTCCTGTTGTCTTGCTATTATTTTTGTACCTTTTATCCCTCACAGGACCCTAATTGGGTTTTGAATAGAAACCTTTATTCCAATATGTATTTTCTTGTTTAGCACTCCATGTTTTTTATTCACCCGTTATCTTTCTTCCCTATAACCCATTACTGGTTGGCCCTTATAAAATTTATGCCCAAGGACTGCATTAGACTTTCCTAGGACTGCTCTGTAGAGTAGGCAAGTACTTTGGGAGAGGGGTTCTCATTGCATACATGTGAAAGTAAAGCAGTCCCCTTGTTCAGGCTTGTGTATTTTAAACTAAAGCCTTTAGTTTCTTGATGTTAATAACTGTCCTTGTACAGGCTTAAGAGAATATTTCAAATCTACTTACGTTCCTATCATTTAGAGAAGCAGTTGCTGCCATTCATGTTTATAATTTTCGGAAGTTGTAGTGTGATACAGTCTTTATTAGGTGAGAAAAGGCAGAAAGTAATTTGTCCTAAGTTCTCTGATAAAGTCTTGAATCCAAGGCTCCTACTTAAATTAAGCATGTGTGATACCCCATTTATTCACCAAGAAAACCCTCAACAGCTGGGGCTGCATGGAGTGGTTATATTTGAAGGTTTTTCACAGGGGTTACAATATGACAGTCCCCACCCCAATCCAGCACCAGGATAAAAGCAGGGACTTCCAACAGCACCCCAGTTCTTCAGCCTGAGCCATCCACATGCTATCGTCTTCTCACCTCCCCCTGGGCCCTAAGTCAGGGCTTGGGGGAGAGATGGAGGAACAAAGAAATGAGATACATTGCCACCTGAGAAACCTCAGGGGGGAGGACCCAGCCTTAGTCTCCCTCCTCCCAAGTGCAAAAATGTGTAAACAGAGTAAACGGAAAACAAAAGTGCAGTCTTCAGTGGTTCCCTCTCCTGTCCCCCTCCCCCCAACTGTTCAGGGGCTAAGAGCCTAGACACAAGTCTGGCTTTCTACTGCCTAGTTGGTTGCTGAACATAAGGAATGGGGTGAAGCAGGAAGGGGGTCGGTTTCCTCTTACGCACAGCTCTAGGGCAGTAATCTTCAGCTGCCAGTGTCCCTAGAGTTTTACCAGGTAAATTGGTCAGGGGGGTCCGTCTCCCTCAAGTCAGACTTAAGCTGGGACAGCCCCATCTTTCTCTGTTGATTATGTGGCGCATATATATTATTTATATAAATATTTCTCTATGTACAAGGAATAAGAGTGGCTTTCATGGAGGGAGGGAGGCTGGGGGCCGCAAGGCATCAACGCTGTTGTTGTCCAATTCAGTGCTGTCACAGTCTGAATCCTCAGAATTGGGAGGGCCCTGTGAGGAAGAGTAGACATGCAATGAGGTGGGGCTCCGTAGCTTTTGGCATTACAGATAAGAGTTCCTTCAGGGCTCCTTGCTGCCATCTTTTTAATAGCCACTGGCTTACTGGTTTTCGTTGCTTCTAGATTTTAATTGCTCAGGCTATAGCAGCACTTTATCGTTGCCATACAAATTACGTGCCAGACCCCTTATCAAGCGCTCTGTACCATAAGCCTTGCATTCTGCCATGTTGGGTAGTTGGTTCCTTTGGAACAGGAGAAAACTGGTTTAGAAACTGAATCACTTAGAGGCCGAATTCCGATCTTCCTGGTTTGTGCGTTTGTCTCGCAAAAGCTGTCAACCTAGCCATGCACCTGCTTTGGTTCTTCCTAACACCTATTAGAAGTTCTTGACTTACCTGCTCACCTCTGAGTAGGTCCTGGTGTGGGATGGCCAGGGAGCTAGGTTCAGGCTCAGGGACCACCTCTGAAGCAGGTGGGTCCAGTGGGATTTCTGAGCCCTGGGAGCACATGTCATCAGACCGCTCGTCTGGCCGCTCATCAGTGTTGGTACTGCCCACTTCAGGTGTGCCACTGGGGGAAGGCTCACTAGCTGTACCTTCCTCCCCATCTGATGGATTCTCTGAGCTGAAGGTAGATAATGACTGGCGCATATTCAGGCCCTGAGGCCACCTAAGTGTTGGAGAAGGGAGGACATTGACAGCCTTTTCTGCCCTTTGGAGTCCAGAAGGCCAAAGAATGCTGTTACTACCTGTACTGCACCTCTTACCTCTGGCTTGATGTTAGCTCTACTTCGCTGTCCACCTCTCCTTCCTCCTCTTCTGAAGAAATGCCACGTTTCTGCAGGAGAGAGGGAGGGGCTGTGGTCAGTAATGGGGGGAGGTCGTTAAGAATACAGAAAGGAACATGGTTACAGAGGATGAGAGGGTATGGCTAAAGATGAGTGTAGTGTGGGGGATGAGACTTCAGTCCTGGTGGCAAGGAAAAAGGAGAAGAATAGGGGGCACTCTCCATACTTACCTGACTTCGAGTGACAGCAGCCCTGTACAGCAGTGCAGCTGGGGTCAAGTGCTGGGACCCAGCCCGGCTTCCTCCCCGGCCCGCTGTCCCTTCCCTTCCAGTTCCCAGCAGCCCTGAACCTTCACCAGGCCCTACTGGTGGAGGTGGTTCCCCTTTGGCTCCCCCAGGTGAATCTGGGCTGGTGGAGCCAGGCGCTGAGCCCTCACTTGGGGGGGTGTCGCCCCGGGCTGGAGGTGGTGAGCCTGGATCCCCAGCTCCTCCTGTGGCCCCGCGGCCCCTGGCTCCCAGTGCTGCTGACAGCAGGTCTGGGGACGAAGAAGACATCTTGCGGAGCAGAAGGTCATGATGAAGCCCGCGGAGGGCTGGAGGGCAGGCCTCCCAAGCTGAGGGTCCCACTCCTAGGCCCCCTGGGCTTCCAGGTCCTCCAAGTTCATGGGGTAGCACAGCTGCACGAAGCCCAGGCAGGTCCCCACAACTGCCCTTGGCGCTGGCCTTGCGGTGACGGGTCTTGCCACGGCGACTCCGTCCTGGTGAGGGGGGGCCCTTAGGACACCCGGGAAGCCCCACCCCACTTAGGGCTGCATCTAGTTTAGGTAGCAAAGACTCTGTCTTGAGGATATCTGGCCTGGTAGAGGGAAAGTACAAGGTTGAGATTAACAAATGCATACACCCAAAGCACTCCCTAACCTTGGACAGGGCAAGTACCTGCAGGCTCCAGCAACCCTCCTGCCCTACTCAAATTGATCTTTGTGAATTTGAGCCCCACCTTTTGCTATGGGGTGATAGCTTCTGTGGCACATTTCTCTTCTTGATGAGTTTCTCCATGGTGTTCCCATGCAGGAGGCCCCGGGAAGGGTGTGACTTCAGCAGGCCTGGGCACCTCCGCTCTAAAGCTTGCTCCCGCCTAAAGATACAGGCACCTTCTCAGTTGCGTTTGTGAACAAGAAGGAACCTCTTTAAGTCGGCCAGCTCCGTCAAGACTCGTGGCAGTGGGATCAATGAATACGGCGGGTAGCGTTACCTGAGTAGCTCCCGCTCCTTGAGTTCTAGCTGCAACATGAGGGCATTCAGTTCCATGTACAGGTTGTTGGCTCTCTCCAGCTTCCGTTCATAGTGCTCCCTGATGTCCAAGGCATGTCTGAAATGGGCACATGGGTACCTCCAGGTGAACTGACTGTACTTGGTGCCTTGATAGTCCTCAGTCTGGGACCTGGTGATGTCCAGTCCATGCAGGTGGTAAACTTATCTCCCCAAGCAGGCACACAACACACCTGAGCTCCTCCCTCCTCCGCATCACCAGCTCCTCTTCTAGTCGGTGTAGACAGGTCCCTTCTGACTTTATCTTTTCGAAGTGCAGCTTTACCTCTTCCCGCCATTCTGCCTGAGGGTGGAGAGAATGCAGGGGGTTAGGAGTTTATCCCTAGGGTGTCCAGGGTGACTGCACTGTAGATTTTGTATTGGAGCAGGAAGGAGTGGGTACTGAAATGGTACGCCAGCCCTCCAAGAGGAGCATCCTGTCCCGTCAGCCCTTTTCCCAGGTCCCTCCTTAAAGTGCATCATTATCTGCAAAGAGGGGAGGGTCACTTATTCATTTTCCTACCCACAGCGCACCTGGGACTTAAAATAAGTCTCCTGGGGTGTGGAGAGTACATCAGCCGAGGCGATGTCCAGATGTAGCAGGATTTGTCGGAATGATGGCCGATTTCGTGGCTTGCTGTTCCTGAAGGGAATGGAATTGAGGGAGAAAGGAATTTCAGAGATAGGAACCAGATCATCCTTTCACAAAGTGACCAGGAGAATCTGTCCTAGACTGAATCTTTTGTTTTGTTTTGAGACGGGGGTCTCATTATGTAGTTCAGGCTGGCCTTGAACCCACTGTGATGTTTCTGCCTCAGCCTCCCAAGTGCTGAGATTACAGGTTTGTGCTACCTTCCCCACCCCGTCCTACAATGAATTCTGTGACAAAAGAATTCCGTGCTCTCTAGGATATGTCACACATAATTTGTTAGCACATCAATATCCTGCAGTAAGGAGATCTATTTAACTACTATTTTCTAACTTGTCTGCCAAAATAAAACCTGAGTTTTCATTACAAGAAAAACTCGGGGGGAAAAGATTAAATCTTCAGCCTTCCCTCTTGCATTCCAAAGTTGTCTGTTTGAGACTGAACTTCTACTCAGTGTTGATGCCTCCTGCTTGGTACTTCTGTGTGTTTATGTTGCTTTATAGAAACTCAGGATAGCAGATATTTTTACTCATATTTTTTAGGTGGGGAAACAGGTTTAGAGGTGATACCACGTGCCCAAGCTCCCTCAGCTCAGAAGGTAGCATACTTCCATTCAGATACAGGTCAGTCTAGCAAGATCCCTGCCAATTAAGGTTCAGTCCAACCTCCCTCAGTTCTACACTGTAGTTCTCTCAATTCACATCCTACGTCCTGGTTTGTTTTTTGAGACGGTCTCACTATGTAGTTCAGGCTGCCCTCAAACTCACAGCGATCCTCCTGCCTCAGCCTCGCTAGTGCTGGGATACAGGTGTGCACAACCACACCAGCCGTCCTGGGTTAAGAGACAGTGGGGAGCTTTGATCCCTTTGTTAAGGATTCTGGGTCTGGCTGCCTCAGTTCTCAGGGCTGGCC